TTTAATATGCACATCCGCTCCACTGCAGTTGATTTTTTGCAAAAGATACCACACGACAGCCAGTCACTATCACATCACCAACTTTCGCTGTATGTCTCTCAGCCATTATTTACATGTTTCATAAAACAATTAAACATCTAAAATGTATGTCGAAACACCAAACTGTGGTGAAGTGTTACAGTGGTCTGGAATTTGCCAATAATGCAAATTCCACCATATGACACCAACTTAGAGATTTCAAAAAATTGTTGTAGACGAGATGTTATACGTGGCAAAAACCTTACAAGCATAAAAAAATTGGATAGCAACCACAGTTAGGATTCACTAAAAGAATATTAGAATAAAGTAGAACAATGGAGCTATCTTTAACAGCTGAGGTTTCAGAAGTGCTGCAAAATTCCTTTGTGTAAAACTCTATCAGCAAAATTTCTCGACTCGCTCCACAAAAGAATAAACGTTTCAAAAAATGGAGCATGTGATACAATCCCAGCCGGAAGAGGCGTAGCTGCCATAACTTCCCTCTTCACCAATAATTTTGAAGTCTAAAAAAACTGCTTAGCAACAAATCCGCCTTCTCAAAACTTTCTCGTTTACTTTCTAAGAAATTACAAGTTTGAAAAATGCCTTAAATTACTGAAATCACTAACTTCTGTGGTCTTTTTTGCTCTGTTCTGAGGTTGACCAATAAGTATTATTGATAACTAAATGCAAATTAAATTTGTTATTAATCTGAATCACATTCGTTCATTCTGTAATTAAAGAAGAAAACCTGAACCTAAATTTTTAACAGATGTTCCGTACTCCACTCTGTCATTCCTAGTTTCCTTTCAGTTTCATTTAAGTTCCAAATACAGACCTTTCATAAAACATGATAGGAATTATTTCAGCTTAGCTCGTAAAATGTCTCACGCTCGGTTCTTCTTTCTTTACAACTGCAGAAAAATGCAATAAGTAAAATGATCAAGAAACTTCCGAGACGAAAAACCTAGAAACTCTGTACAATAAAACAAAGATTTCGCAAATTTAATTTACGCCAGTGTAGTTTCCAAACTTTTTTTCATAACAATTAAACAATTTACTGCCAACGAATAATTTGTAACAATAAAAGCGATGCATTTTCAACGATTTGACTTGGCTACACGTTCAAGCTCATCCTTCTTTTTAATAGCGTATGAATTCGACGACCCTTTAGCAGCATTTATCAGTTCATCAGCCAAGCACTCCGCAATTGTTTTGATATT